GGCGTAACAGGTTATTCGTTACCTTGGGACCAAACTGGTTATGGGGTATCTCGGTTAATGCACTTTCTAATGATACGTAAAAAAGGCATCTCGGGTTTGTTATATGGTATTGTTTGAACCATACATATAGTACACAAATGTCATTACTAAACATCCAAAACAATACGAATAGGATATGAATGTTACACACATGTCACTTAGCTCCAATCATAATAAAATGTGATTACAAAGGAGTTAAACATTAACAAAAGACATGGGCAAGCAACATGTTTAGCTTCGGCTTCATCTTTATCCTGACATTGGCTGTGGTTCTTGCGAGCCTTGAGCATGTGAGGGCATAACGTTTGATATTCGTACGGGTTGACTTTGTCCAGGTGTGTTGATGTACGTGCCTCCAACACCTTCATTGTAATAAACACCATATCCAGCAGGCATCTATGAACATATCATAATTAGTAACAAATCAAATTTCAAAGCTGCATATTCCATAAAATCAGCAAATAGTAGTTTACAGAAAGCAAATGAACTTACTGATGTACTTTTTCTCCTCCCTCTACCACTCACTTGCCTTCCCCTGGAACCTCTTCCCCTACCTCTAAGTGATGGTTCAGCAGTTCTATGGTGCACACTTCTCTTTTACAGCATCTTGTATATCTTTTGCTATCCATTTAGAACCAACTTGACTATTATTTTTCATGTCTCTATGACAAGTATGTGTAATTGCCACTTTTTTGACCACATACACACCCTTTCTTGAATGCCAAGAACCAACTATTTCAAATGGACATCCTTGAATACATCTTGCACCCAATCTTTCATTTCTATTTTTGTTGCTACCATTAAACACAAGGTTTCTTCCTTGAAATATTCCATACCTTCGAATTGCATCCCTAAACAATTCCCTATTAGGAAGCCTCATTCCTGGTTGCCAAACTAACTTTGAGAAATCAGTGTGTGCATCAATAATGGGGGCTGACTTTTTCCTCTTTTTTCCACGAATGTCATCCTCCTCACTCTCTTCTGGGGTGTTAGCATACTCATCAGAATCCTCATACTCTGATACAAGATCCCGGGCTTCTGTAGTAGCAGCCCCTAGGGTTGGATTTGGAGTTTGTATAATGAAATTAACAATTCCATCCATTTTTGCATTTTCTTTGTCATGCCAATCATTGAACTTTCTTCTAGCATCCCTACACTCCTCATCATCAGTGTCACTGTCAGACCCTAATAGTACCTCATCATTAGGCATCTCATCAACACATGTCTCAATTCTATTCCCTTTATTAAGCCCAGTCAACTCTTTAGTGTCTTCCCCTTCTTCCTCTTCATCGTGTGAATCTTCCTCTGAAATGTCAAGTTCTGTAGACTAAACCAATTCTTCTTCAATAAAATGAGATGGGCAGAATGTAGAAATACTGGAAGTCTTCATAGGAATTTTGCTCTGTTGAATTTTGTCAACAACATGACTAGTATCTCTTCTATTTTGGTTTGAAGCAGAAGCAGAAAATTTTTTAGTCTAGTGCACAACATATAAACAAATAAGATTATCACTTTCTTCTCCATCTGTCACCATTTCAATTGTCTCTTTGTCACCATATATTCTCTTCAACCCTTTACCCAAATCACAACCTGGCTTTGCATAATACAACTCAGAAACATGAGGATAATCTCCACAATCTTTTGCCCAATCAAGAAGATCAAAATAACCAATTTTATCTGGATCTACATCGTCTAGAACACAGGTGTTACCTCCGACATACTCTATAGTCCGTCCATGCTTCAAATTTCCACCATAATTGTATATGAGCTTCATCTGAAAATTCACAAAGAGTGAAACCCGGTGTCTTCTGCGTGAGAGAAAGCCTTCAATTGAGAAAGCTAGTGTCTTGGAGCTAGGCAATTGTACGGGTTTCCAATTAGGGTTCTGCATCTAATGGCAAGCATGTTTTTAATAATAATAATTACATGGCACCGTAAGATATCCATCGTGTTAAAGCCACGTCAAATTCCCGTTAAGGTAGAGTTAGTGTTTAGACGGAGGACCAAAACAGATACAAATTAAAGAAGTTAGGCTTATTATAAATAAACAGAGAAGTTGGGATTATTTTTGGAAGACGGATGAAAGTTGGAATTATTTTGGAAAAATTTTCCTAATACAAAATGTCAAATTGTACTACACTTAATAGCTATTAGATGAATTTTTCTAACAAAATAGTTATTTGATGAACATTTTTTTTACAAAGGACTAATAATTAAGAAAATTAATCTAAATTATAAAATACCATGTAAGTAATCATTACTTACTCCTTCCCAGAAAGTTCTTTCCATGTGACTTTTTTAGTGAAAGTTTGTAACCTTTGACTTCAATATGTGGAAAAATACATTATATTATTATATACCTTTAATATCAATATATTCCTATTAAAATGTAGTTATCAAATACCAAATTTTTATGATATATATCTATGCATAATTAAGGATATTAGTGGCCAAAGTATAATCTTAGATACCGTGAAAAGTCAAGTGGAAAAACATTTTTAGACGAAGAGAATACTTATTAAAGACGAATTTGTAAAATTAACCTATTATAAATGATCATTTTAGAAATTAACTCTAATGAGAAAATAAATAGGCCCATATTCTGTAATTTATAATACAGTTCTTACCCACCTTTCAAATTTCATCCACCCTATGTGGAATGTATGTTGGAAGATGGGGTGGTGTGCAAATTTTTATTCAGTCTTCTTTTCGCTTGTTAGAATAAATTACTCCCTCACCCCCAGTATTTGTTCACTTTCATTTTGGACCAAAAACCAAGAAAATGAGTAAAATGACCTAATTACCCCTACACTATCCACCGTCTCTCTCCATTTTTTCTTTGCCCAGACCACCTTCCATCCCCAACTTTGCCATCATCCAACTCCAATTCACAATCGTCCGGACGGCCGTCCAAGTCCAATTTTCCACCCCAAACCATTTGATTTTAAAATTTGAAAAAAACACTGCAAAACATTTTGCAATCGGAAACTTTTTGCCATCAGACATTTTGCAAAAAAACACCGCAAAACAAAAAAGAAAGATAATTTCACATCAAAGATTTCAAACTCGAACTGCCGCCCAATTTCACCCGGAATCGGAAAAAGATCCAGCTTCAACTCGTCGTCGGAGCAGATATCCAATGCCGTTTTAAAGCTCCAATTCTGGGCGGCGCTTCGGAATGTGAGAGAGAGACAAAAGGGGAAGGTCCGATCCTACTACTATTCAATTACGGATTGATTCATATAAGATAATGAATGTGAGGATTAGATTTTGATCGAGACAATTGGATGAAAAAAAACACTGGGTTTGAATAAGGGTGAGAAATGGTGTAAATGGTGAGGGCAAAACAGTCATTTCATGTTAATTTTGTTTCTTAAAAAGGAAAGTGGACGAATACTCAAGGACAAACCAAAAAAGAATACTGGACGAATACTGGGGGACAGAAAGAGTAGAAGAAATTGAAAGAAGCTAGAAAGAATTAAATAAATTACAAGAGCTAGAAAAAAGTAAAAGTAATTTGACAATGTTAGAAAAAATAATTTTTTAAAATAAATTACTCAATTAAATGATTATTCAAATAAATATGTAGGAAAACTAATTGTAAATATAAAAAACTCATTTTTGTTCGTATTTGAGATGTTATGTTATAAATTTGGATATTTAATGCTAGTGTATAATGATCATATGTAAATACATTTTTGAGGTGGTAATTTTTCGCGAATGAAATTAGTGTAAGATTGTTACCAAAGTTCAATTGAAACACCTACGATTTTCTAATCGTAAAATTTATCGTTCCTATCCCCCCCAACTTCTCTCCCCCCAATAAACTCTCTAGCCCGTCACATCCCTAACGTAGCCCCACACTTCATTCAATTGCATCACCAATTTTTTTAAAACCTTATTTGACCTTAAAATCAACAAATATTTTGGTAGTGCAACTGAAGAGAATGTGGGGGGTGTTGGGGACCTGTCACGTTGAAGGGTTAATCGGGGGTTAGGAAAATTTAGTTCTATGATCGGAGCAGCGTAGGTGACTCAATTGAATTGGTGTAAGAATCTTACACCAAATATTTGGTGTAAAATCACCTTTCTCTATATTTTTAAGTCACTATTGGAAAAAAAGAAGAAATAAAAAATTTGAAAATAATTAAAAGAAACTAGATAATGATTCTAAAAAATGAAAAAATACTAGTTAATTGAGTAAATTCCATAAAAGGTTCCCAGTTATAGGTCGTTTTACATATTTCGTCCCTACATATCAAATATTACTAATTTAGTCCCCAATTATTATATTCATTTCCACGAATGAACTGGGTTGTTGTTGTTGTTTGTTCCACGAATGGTCCTTTGTTAACATTTCCGTTAAGAACGTGGATAAAATTGTAAATTAACACTTCTTTCTCTCCTCAATTAAGCTTCCTCCCTCCCTTGGCACTCCTTTAATTTCTCAAACCCGTCGCTAAGTTTGAAGCTTTGAACCCAAAACCGAAATCATCACTCTTCTCTCAATTGTTTGTCTAATTGGTGGAACCCAAATTCGAAACCAGCAACCTTAATAGATGAGTTTTAATATTTATTTTCTTTGCAATTTTTTAGACTAACCGATAAAACTCATCCATAAAAGTTTTTTGGTTTTGATTTTAAGTTCCACCGGGAAGACTAATAATTGAGAGAGGAATGATCATTTCCGTTTTGGGTTTATAGCTTCAAACTCAGCAACGAGTTTGGGAAAGAGTAAAAGAGGAGGGAGGGCGCTTAATTGAGGAGAGAGAAATATGAATATACAGTTTTATCCATGTTCTTAACAAAAATGTTAAGAAAGGACCATTCGTGAAAAATGATATAATAATTGGGGACTAAATTAGTACGAGTAATATTTTATATGTAGGGACTAAATATGTAAAATGAGAATTTAATTTAGTTAATTTTTAATGGAGTATTTTGTAGACATTCAGGGTAACCTGTTCCAAAATAACCTGGTTCCTCTCCACTCTTCAGTGACAATTTCCGGTAAACGCCATAGTCTCCGACCCGGAGAGGGATCTGCCGCCGTCAACCGAAAACCCTTACCTGACTGTGGCGACATCACTTCTAGATTCCAGTGCTTGCAGAGCTAGAAATGCGGCTCTAGGTCTGCCTCTGGACTCAGATTCTTGTTAACTTGGGAAGTTGAAATGAAAACAGGACCGTTTGGATAACAGGAATTGCAGCAGCTATGATGCGGCTCCTTAAAATCGAAGGTGCTTCTAGCAGTTTGAACCATTTCTTCTTCTTCTTCATCTTCTTCCTCTTTTACATTCCATTCTCCGAACAGAGTTTCTACAGTTATAATCGTTTCCCTTTCCTGGGTGCCGACGGACTTTAATAATTCATAAACTTAATTATAACCTTCTGTTTTTGGCTGTTTGATGTAATGGAATCCAAAATGATAGTTAATTTCTCCTTTCCTCATACGGATTATCTCAATAGTGCACTGGGAGTCCTGTCTATTCGATCATATTTTTATTGTATGCTTATATTAGTGTGATTTCCTGTGATGGTTACATCATTAATGTCCAGTAGAAGCTTTTGTTATTGAATGGTTGGATTTCATGAGTTATACAGTAGATGCTAGTGTCCTTACTGCCCAAAGGATAACTTGGGTTGTTATTCTGCTGCAGGATTACTGTCACATATTGACTCAAAAAAGGCTTTCAAATTTGCATATGTCAAAAGATTCTTGTGTGCGGGTACAGGAAATTGTGATCAACAAGGGAGAGGCATAGAATTTTCAAACACATCTGAGTGTTTAGGTAAAGAAGGAGTTACTGGGCAATGGAAGAACCAAGAATACACTAGCAAATTGGACGGTGTTAGACAAGTAGTAGATAGCATTTGCAAGGTTTTGGAGAGTGGTCCGTTGGGACCTTCCTTGGAGAACGCTTTATCTGATAATGACGAAAAACACGATACTGATGTTGTAATTGGAGTCTTACGGAAGCTAAAGGATGTAAATGTTGCAATAGACTATTTCCGTTGGGTTGAGAAGAAAAATGACCAAACTCATTGCCCAGAAGCATATAATTCACTTCTTATGGTACTGGTGAGGAGCAGAAATTTTGAGCACTTGGAGCAGATATTCGAAGAAATGAGTCTTGCTGGGGTTTGTCCTTCTAGTAGAGTTTGCATTGAATTCGTTACAGGATGTGTTAAGAGGCGGAAATTCAAAGAAGCATTTGATCTAATTCAAACCATGAGGAAATTTAAGTTTCGCCCAGCATTTTCAGCATATACAGCATTAATAGGTTCCTTGTCTGAAGTACAGGAACCCGATCTTATGTTGAACCTCTTTCATCAGATGCAGGAGTTAGGATATGAAGCAAATGTCCATTTGTTCACAACAGTGATTCGAGCATTTGCGAAAGAGGGCCGAGTAGATGTGGCTCTATCGTTGTTGGATGAGATGAAAAGCAACTCCTATAATGCGGATATTGTCCTCTACAATGTTTGCATTGACTGCTTTGGTAAGGCGGGTAAGGTCGACATGGCTTGGAAATTCTTTAATGAAATGAAGGCCCTTGGGATCATGCCTGATGAAGTGACCTATACTAGCATGATTGGTGTTCTCTGTAAAGCTAATAGACTTCTCGAAGCTGTTGAGCTATTTGAGCAGATGGAGCTAAATAGGGCAGTTCCTTGTGCATATGCATACAACACAATGATCATGGGTTATGGATCTGCTGGCAAGTTCGATGAAGCATTCAAATTACTAGAGAGGCAGAGGCTAAAGGGTTCAGTACCAAGTGTGATTGCATATAACACTATCCTTACTTGCCTCGGGAGGAAGAGAAGGGTAGATGAGGCATTACACATTTTTCAGGAGATGAAAAAAGACGCAGCACCAAATCTATCAACATATAATATTCTCATTGACATGCTTTGCAAATCAGGGAAGCTTGAGACTGCTTTTCAAATTCGTAATGACATGCAAGCGGCTGGTTTGTTTCCCAATATATTAACTGTGAATATAATGATTGATCGTCTGTGCAAGGCAAACAAACTCGACGAAGCTTGTTCAATATTTGAAGGAATGGATAAAAAAGTTTGTATGCCCAATGAAGTTACATTTTGTTCCCTAATTGATGGATTGGGCAGGCATGGGAGGTTGGATGATGCATACCGACTCTACGAAAAAATGTTAGATTCTGACAAAACACCACCTAAGGGTCCTGTTGTTTACACATCTCTGATCAAGAACTTTTTCAAATGTGGGAGAAAGGAGGATGGTCACAAAGTGTACAAGGAAATGGTTCGTAGAGGGGTCTCTCCTGACCTCTCCCTCCTTAACACCTACATGGATTGTGTTTTTAAAGCAGGAGAAACAGATAGAGGCCGGGCACTTTTTGATGGAATCAGGAGTTGGGGATTGACACCAGATGTGCACAGCTATTCCATATTAATCCATGGTCTCACTAAAGCCGGCTTTGCCCAGGAGACATATGAGCTATTCTATGCGATGAAAAAACATGGATATGTTTTGGATACACAGGCGTATAACATTGTCATAGATGGATTCTGTAAATCGGGGAAAGTTAATAAAGCTTACCAACTGCTGGAGGAAATGAAGACAAAAGGTCTGCAACCCACTGTGATAACATACGGCTCGGTCATTGACGGGCTAGCCAAGATTGACAGGCTTGATGAAGCATACATGCTTTTTGAAGAAGCCAAATCTAAACGTGTTGATTTGAATGTGGTGGTGTATACCAGTTTAGTGGATGGGTTTGGGAAAGTTGGTAGGATAGATGAGGCACATCTAATCATGGAAGAATTGATGCAAAAAGGGTTGACTCCAAATGTACAAACATGGAATTGCTTGCTTGATGCACTTGTGAAAGCAGAAGAAATAGAAGAGGCTCTTGTCTGCTTCAAGTCAATGAAGGACTTGAACTGCCCTCCTAACTTAGTTACATACAGCATCCTCATAAACGGGCTTTGCAGGATTCGGAAGTTCAATAAAGCCTTTGTCTTTTGGCAGGAGATGCAGAAAGAAGGCTTAAAGCCAAATACGATCACGTACACGACCATGATTTCAGGGCTTGCAAAGGCAGGAAATGTGTCGGAAGCTGATAAACTCTTCCGGAAATTCAAGGCGAATGGAGGCAGACCAGACTCTGCTTGCTACAACACTATGATAGAAGGGCTGAGTGTTGCAAACCGGGCAACTGAAGCGTACCAACTGTTTGAGGAAAGCCGATTGAGAGGGTGTATTATATGTACCAAAACATGTGTTTTTCTCCTAGATGCGCTGCACAAAGCTGAGTGTCTTGAGCAAGCTGCCATTGTAGGTGCCGTGCTGAGAGAGAGAGCCAAATCGCAGCACGCTTCAAGATCTTTGTAATTCTTCTTCAAATCTAACTCTTCTGAATAGGTCTTTGTTGTCAAACTTGATTAGCTTCTTGGCTCATCATCCTTAGCCCCGTCTCCGAGCCATAAGGCGTGGTGGTCAAGCATCTCCCTTGGTTGTAAAATATTTAGATGATACCCCAATACGGTAAGCAAGAGGATTACTGGAGTTGGAATGCAAGCTAGTTGTCTAATCTTATTTTTATTTAAATAGTTGTGGTTGTAAAATAGTCCTTCCCCTGTACCTTTAGGGGAAAGCTTTTTGCACAAACTAAGTTTTCCAGAATAAAGTTTTATTCTTATGCTTTGCTTCTTCAGTTCAACGCACATACGCTTGGCAAATCCGCAAATACCCCTCCATCCCATGTTAAACACCCTGTTAGCTTATTCACGTATAATACGCGTATTATACACCCGTACGTATAATACGCGTATTATACTCCCAAATATGAATTTTTCATGTGACACATATTTTTTTTATCCCTAACGTATTTACAAATTTTATACGTATTAAATCGTAATTTTTTTTCATTCGACTCCAATAATCAAAATTTAGAAGGTCAATTTTTTATAAGATCAATTTACTTGATTGTCTGCTTCCTAGAAATACATATCTTCAAAATTTATCGACTAAACAATTGTAAAAGTATTAGAATCGGAATGCTGTTCAAGTCATTCACCAAAGTTTTTTGTCAATTAAATATTATTCATGGTCTACTAGTTTGTTCGACTCCATCTGGTTGGGGGTCCAATACTCCAATTGCTCTAACAAATGTAGGTAACAACCTTATCTCTATTTTTTTATATTTTTAAAATGTAATCAATTTTTTGTATTTAGTTTTTGTGGTTAAATATTTATCGACGTTTAAAAATATAAATTTGATTTCATTTGTGTGATCTAAGTTCTAAAAATATAAGCTCGTAACTGTATTTTTCATTCTAAAAATTAAAAATATAAAGTTGATTTCATTTTACTCCATTTTAAATTACGTAAAAGATTACTTATTGAGTTTATATTTATATTACAAAAACACTTGAATCTTCATTTAATATTCGTGATGAGTATGTAATCAATTTCGTAAAACTCAATATCCGTGAATCAACTTTTTCAAAGGCAAATGAATTCTGAAACAACCCTTAATGTTTTACAAGAACAACTTGAGTTGCATAATCAGTTTGAAAATCAGTTTCGGGGTGAGGTTCAAACTCAAATATTTTTTTCATGAATAAGCACTTTTCAATGATGAAGATCAAACTAATCAAAATTTTGAGTTTGAAAGAACATATGATTAGAAGGACTTTGAAAGTGATTTTGGTTTTGAATATGATTATTCACTTCAAAAATGAATTTGAGAAACCTAACTTTGAAAATGAATTTGTTTTTCAAACTTTGAGGGTTGGTTTTAGAAGTGAATCTAACTTGGAAAGTGATTTTGAATCCAGAACTCAACTTTTAGAACATGCTTTGAGAGAAGGATTAAACTAGGGACTGATTTTAAGACTTCCAGATCTAATTTTTAAGAAGAAATTGAATTCTTAGAAGCTGATTTTCAGAAGAAAATTTATAATGTAGAGATTGATTTATATGAACAAATAGAAGTTGTAGGGGCTGATTATCTAAAATAATCTGATTTTGAACTTGATTATCTTGAAAAAGAGGAAATCCCAAGGGATGATTTTCATAAAGAATCTGATTTTGAAGATGTTTTCCAAGATAAAATTGAAGCTTTAGGGGCTGATTTTGAAGGTGAAACTGATTAAGTAATCTATATTTCAAAAAATGTGGTACTCTCATTAACTAATTTGTATCTTCAAACAAACTTTACTTGTAACCTTCATTAAGTGACATGTATCTTTTGTTGTTGTTATCCCCACGCTCACACAATACTCGGACACAACACCTATAAATGGAGCACCATTTCTTCTTCAAACTTCATTCAACTCTTCTCCTTCACCTATAAATGGAGCACCATTTCTCCTTCAATTATCCACCAAAATTTTTCATTCTTCTTCATACAGTTTCATTAGAGTATAGAGAATAGACCGCAAGTGATCGTCGCCGATGAAGTCATTGGAGGTAGCCAAGGTTATTGTCGGAAGTTGCCCGGAAAGCTGAAAGGAAGAAACAGACCTATGTGGAAATCAGTCCACTTGTAATATTTTTCTAGAATTTTCCATCCCTTATCTCGAAAAACTTTCTTGATCAAAGTTGTAGCCCTGTTTTCTACAAATCCAACCTAGCAAACGGTTTGCGATTTCGTTTAGAAACGAAGGAGATATTGCTAAAATACCGGGACTACGCTAGTGGTGGCAAGCTCCTCGGGTTTGACTAACTTTTTTCACATATTCACTTCATTCTGTTCAATCCACTTATTGTAAACTCTCTTATGATCATTAGGAACCTCTCGAAGGTATCACAGGAAAAGTTTTATGAAGGAATATTGAGGTGATAAGTTGATCGTTGGATTCAAAATCCTGGCAGCACATATTAGCCCACTTGTGAGCATTTTTACACCCTTTAAACTTCTTTATTTTAATCTAGTTTCTTCACAAAAGTTGAAGCCTTATTTCCTATGAATTTGTAGCTTCAAACGGTTTGCAATTTCGTAGAGTAAGGAAGGAAATATGGCCTGGAAACCAAAGCTGGTACAGTGGTGATGGCAAGTGATGAGTTTTGGTATTTTTGAAGTTCTTTTCGTTTCTGTTCGTTCGTTGAGCTTCATCTCTTTGATATCCCGGTCTGTACCATGATTTTTAGCAATTTTAGAAGGCATGGAATGATACTTGAACTTACTGATTCATATATATTTGAAAATATAAATATTTTGATATTCATAATCACCAAACTTGTTTTTGTTGTTAAAGCCTCAAATAAATTAGTTGTGAATGATTTATTGACATTAGAAAACATTTTTATGAAGTTAGTTTAAAGCTTAGAAGCTTAAATGGTGTTTTGAGAAATTGGACCGAGATTGAAGATGACACTGTTTAAACTACGTGCAGAACGGTAACGAACTACTATCCAGATGTTATCTAAGTACCGCCGGCACGGCGGGCCGTACCGTTAGAACGGTAGACCAACTGTCATCTTCACGTCAGAACGGTAGACCAGCTATCATCTACATCTGGCGCCAGGCGGTACCCCGAACCGTCTGGATGGTACTGAGGTAACGTGTACCGAGGTACCGTAACAAGTACCGTCTGAACCCGAAATTTTTCTAGAAACCTGGTTTTTTGAACTATTAAATCCTATTTATGATATCATTCAATTATTATCAATATCATAATGATATTTGGAAATAAATATGATGTTCTGTAAATCCATGAACCTTATGGTGATGCATGACGGTAAGATAGGGTGTTCACACTCAACGCTAGACCGCTATTTGTTATTGTATGTTATGATAATTATTATTGAATGTTGATAATGATCAAACCTCGATGAATGTTCTTATTAAAATGATAATCATGAATAAATGAAGCATGATTTAAAATGAATATGTTGATGATTATGAAAATAATGTGTATTGTTAAGGGTATCCAGAATAATCTAAGATATACCCATAGGACTAATTTAGTAAGTTGATATTGATTTTTAAGGGCAACTAGAAGAATTCTAAGATATACTCATTGGACCAGTTTAGTTAGGCCTTGTAGGTATGAAGCTTGGTAGCCAGGGTTAAAATGTGCGTACGGGATCGACAAATCAAACTGGAATACCTACTCGTTTGGGGGTACCACCCAACTCGACAGTGAGCAGTCCGTTATTTGGTTCCTTGTATACCTTAAGCTAAGACTTATTTAAGAGTTGGAAAACCTTTTTAAAAATTGTACCTTAAACTAGATTAGCATAAGAGTTAGTTAGTAGTACCTTAAACTAGAATATAGTTTAAGATATGGTTAGAAATACTTGGCCTTAGACTAAGAATAGTTTAAGAGCATTGTTATGATTTGGCCTTAGCTTAGCATAAGTTAAGAGAAATTATTTGTGATAAAATTTGATATGAAATTATTTGTGATAAAATTTGATATGAAATTATTTGTGACAAATGAAGAATATTGTGATAACAAAATCGATGTGATTATTGTGAACTGTGGACTGATTCCTATATAAGTGTGAATGATGATAATGTTCATTATCATTATTAAAATAATGGATTTAAATACAAAAAAAGCGAATGTTTAAAGATATATATGTGTGTGTGTGTGTGTGTGTGATTGGTATTGTAAAAAAATTATTATGTGAATTCTTTTGTTGCATCATGGTACCACTCCGCTTCATTGCTGAGTGTGTAGACTTTTTCATCTTTCTACACGTAGGTATGAGAGAGGATAAATATGGAGCCTATTCTGGAGAATACTAAGACGGAGGTGATGCATGGACGTGCACAAATATAATATTTAAGTAAATGATTTTATCATATGGGTTGACCATACTCTTATAGTTTGCAAATCGCTTTCGCATTGTTTTGAATAATTATACTCTGATGTTATTTCAAAATATTTTGCTAAATTCTTTAAATTTTTTTTATGTTTGAAATTTTTACGTTACCAAGTTAATACTTTAGTCCGAGAGGGGCTGCAGGCCTGGACGGATTAGGGTGTTGTAGAGCATCATTGTTCAGGGCTCTTCTACTAAAAGGAATATAATGGCCTAATATCGATGTTGTTGGGCCAACATATCCGTTGAAAAATATTATGCCAAAACTCAGTTTTCTTAGCTTTGATCACAACATTGATGTAGTAACACCTACATCGCTGTTACAAAAGCTGCTGGAATGATTTTTGACTAGGCGTAACAACAATGTTCAGCTTTCAACATCGTTGTTGGAAAACTTTCTTCCAGCCCATGGTTTTTAGGTTCAACCGCAACAGCGATGTTGCAATGCCAACATCGCTGTTTGGCTAGTTCGCCAGAACCATGGTTAGCAGTTAACGCCAAAAGCCGATGTCAAAAATCAAAGTTCTCCAATTTGAAAACCAAGTTCTTGAAACACTTATTTAATGCATTTTAATAAGAAACCAGATGTAATACCTTAAAAACGACGTCATTAAGATAAAAAACTGCGACTAGTCAAGTTTATGCCGTTTCACATAGTTTTCCCAAAAGACCAAAAACGAAAGGTGTTTTTAACATGTTTTTGTTGGAAAACTATTTAAGTGTGTCCAAAAGTAAAAAATAATCATAAAAGATTAAAAGCTACTTGGTCGGTTTGGATTCTAAAAACCAACACCGATAACCGAAAATCGAACGTGACCTCTGAAAGCCAAACACCGAACGTCGTGGTTTTTGGTTTGAACAAATGCCAAGTGTTTTGGGCTTACAAAAACTTTATAAAAATAATTTTAATGATGCATGAAAAGAATTTCAATGAATTTAACTTTGAGAGCCAAGTTTACGAAGTCAATGTCGGTCTTGATCACATTAAGATCGACTCATCTATTTCTAAGTGTTCATCTTCATTCTTGGTTCTTGTTTTCACTTGACCACATTTCCATGTTCTTTGCCTTGAGTTTGTTCAATGCCTTTTCATATACACGGCGGTTTGACATTATCAAAACTTGTCAAAACCAAACACCACTACAACATAGACGTAAAGTGTGTTCCAGCAATATCAAGATTACATGGGGAGTGCCTCTCTCTATCATTTATGATCGTGACCCCCAGTTTACGTCACAGTTCTGGAAAAGTATGCAAAAATCACTAGGTACTAACCTCAACTATAGTATGACATTTCATCCTAAGACAGATGGACAATCTGAGAGGGCAATCCAAAATTTGGAATATATTATGAGAGCATGTTTGATTGACTTTGGAAACAACTCGGAACAATACCTATCACTAATATAATTTGCTTATAATAACATTTATCAAGCTAGCATCAAGATGGCCTTGTACGAAGCATTGTATGGGAGGCATTGCAAAACCCCAGTATGTTGGACAGAATTAAGCAAGCAGAAACTTAAAGGACCTGATCTAGTCCGAGAAACTAAAGAAGTGGCTTCCGATCGACAAAAATCATATGCCAACTTAAAACACCGTGAGATTGAATACAATGTGGATGACATGTTGTTGCTAAAAGTTTTACCATGGAAGAAAGTATTACGATTTGGTAGGAAGGGAAAACTAAGCCCAAGGTATATTGGACCCTATCGAATCACTAAACGTGTGGGACCAGTAGCCAATCGATTGGAACTTCCACCAGGATTGAACAAGATCCACGATGTATTTCATGTCTCGATGTTGAAACATTATCGTTCTGATCCATCGTATGTCCTGACCAATGGAATGGTAACTCTCAATGAACGTCTGACATATGAAGAGGAACATGTTCAAATTTTGGCACGAGAAATGAAAGAACTGAGAAACAAGCCTGTTCCATTAGTCAGAGTACTCTGGAAGAATCACTCTACTGAAGAGGCTACTTGGGAGACCAAAGAATCAATGAAGACCCAATATCTGAATCCTTTCAACCAATCGCTCTCGTAATTTCAAGGATGAAATTATTTTAAGAGGGAGAGAAATGAAACGGCCCAAAAATAGGCCTATCAATATTAATTAATTGATAATTAATTAATTACTGAGATGGACTCAAAAACTAAGTGATTTATAAAGTTTGTCAAATAATTCTAAAAATTATGTCGTTGTGTAGAGTTTGACTGTCTGATCACAATGGTAAAATCAGATTTTTATTCGGAGAAAGTTTGACCAAAAAGTGTACCCAGATTGGAACCAAAATTAGTCCCAACTAGGGAGATTCATGTGAGGGACTTCTAGATCGCCTTATAGCGCATTAAGCCAATCGATTGAATCGCGGGACGTCATTGGCTTGTCCTCTTCTCCAAACTTGTCCTATATAAGGGATGCTCAACTCCTCATTTCTTCACCATTCTTTTATAATTATTTCTTCTAATCTGTTTCTTTGAGTGTGAGGAGTGCAGTGGTGCTATTCAGAGGGTGTAAGGTTGCCGGAGCTAACCACCATCTTTGCCGGAAGGTTTGCTGGAAAATTTCCAAAACCGCCATTTTAGCCTGTGGTAAGCCCTTAGATATATTTAGTGATTAGAATGTTCATATAAATCGTTTCTACGTTCATAAATGATCTTTTGGTTGAGTTTTGTGTTTGACATAGTTGATGAACCATGAATCAAAAACCTCCAAATATTTGTTGAAACTTCAAATTAATGGTACCAAAATGATCTTTGAAGAACATTTCTATATAGTTTAATTGAAGTTTGATGACTTAAAATGAAGTTTTCTTTAATTGACCCAAGGTTGAAGATGACACTGTTCCAAACTCTCACAGACACGGTGTCGAGCTACCGCCCAAACGGTACCAAGGTACTGCCTGAATAGTAGGCCCTACCGTTTGGACGGTAGACAGATACCGCCACAGGCCAAACCAACATAGGCAGTATCAGTCATCACACGGTACTCCGTATTGTCTGGAATAGAATTGTAGTACCGTGTGCCGGCACCATGGTACCGTAACAAGCATCGTCTGATCCGGAAATTTTTCCATAGAATTGTATTTTCATCAAAAATGCATTCCGAGAGTTTGTGTTGCATGACGGTAGCTAGGGTATTAACACTCGATGCTACACTGCTTTTTGTTATGAATATTATGATTATTATTGATTATTGATTATGTTTACTCGACCTTCATTAAAAATAAATATCTTAATGAAAATGGTGATTATGTTCTGAATAGCTTAATGATGATAATATTGATTGTTAAGACTATCTAGTAGAACTCTAAGATAGACTCATGTGATTCAATTAGTTAGGCCTTGCGGGTATGACACCTGGTGGCCAAGGTTAAAACGTACGTATGAGATCTATAAACACATTTTGAGTATCTATTCGTTTGGGGGCACCACCTAACCCAACCGTGAGTAGTCCGCTCTTCGGGTTTCTGCCTTAAACTAATTATAGTTTAAGAGTCTTGTTTTTATTTGCCTTAAACTAATTATAGTTTAAGAGTGTGGTTATTACTTATTTTAAACTAATTATAGTTTGAGAGTTTGATTAATAAAAATTAGCTTTAAACTAACCATAGTAATAGTCTAGTTAGAAAATGAAATAGCCTTAAACTAGCCGTAGTTTAAGAGTCGTTAAAAAGATTTGGATTTGGCCTTAGATTAAGAATAGTTTAAGAGCATTGTTATGATTTGGACTAAGACTAAGAATAATATAAGAGCACTATTGATATTATAAATATTGAATAATTGAATAGAATATTATGTACATGATATTAAATGGTTTGATTATGAATTGAGATTCAGTTTATGTGGATGTTCGATGTATTAGATATCTTTACTTAGCTTCAACACTGAGCGTGTAGTATGTTTTATTTGCTACACGCAAGTAAATAAAATAAAGAATGAAGTGATTGATCCTAGCGGCTGATGGGGACACAAGATGTCTAATGGATGTCTGATTGTCTTAAACTAATCAATAATTATTTCAAAAATGAATTATTGATTATGATGTAAAACTATTTATTAAGCTTCTGCAAATTGATAAACTCCGTTACTGTTTCTAAATATTTTATGAGGATGAAATAAAGTTTTAACGATTGAAATATTTTAAATTTTTACGTTACCAAGTTAGTACTTAAGTTTGAAAGGGGTTACAGACCTGGATGGATTTAGGGTGTTACATGTGTTGTTACCTAATTAGGAAAGTTCGAATTCTTATAGAATGAGTCAAGCACCAACACATAGATAGGCTAACCAGCCGCTTGTTGAGGAACATGCTAATGTTCACACAGTTCATACGGAAGCATCAAGCTTCACTCCTCCACAGGAAAACGAGCAACCCACGAACTCACTGAATGCAAATATTGAAGCTGCATACCCTGTTATGCTTGCTCTCATGATGAACTTTTTGCAACTGATGGCACAAGCACCAATTTTCCAATAGCCACCTCTTTTGCCACCTCCTTAGCAAATTACATTGAATACCCTGAAGGACAACGACACTGAGAAATGTTTGGTGGATAAGATCTTTGATCCCCAAATTGCACTAGGCTAGACCAGACCGCGAGAGTTCTACAGGACCCGAATGTCTTAGTGGTGAACCGTCCCAAGTTGGCTATCAGAGAGGATGCTCTTGAGCCCTTGTACGTCGCGGGTATATTTGGATCATATCTTCAAAAAGGGGTATATTGTAGCCCGCTTCTACGAAGAGAAATGCAACGAGTTCTTGGAAACTAAAACAAAAAACATGTCACTCCTTGAACTGCGACACCGATCACCTTGCCTAGTTTGCCCCTACACTTGTATCTACTGCGGAAGATCATATTGGAGAGTTTCGTAAAAAAACTTGAGTTTGACCTGAGGCCACCCATGTCTACCATTGGGCCACACGTGGCCACACGTGTCTGTCATAACCACGATGGATTTCATTGCGACATATGACCTCATGGTCAAGGCAAACACAAGATGCGAATGATTACAAGGAAAGTTTGAAGGCTGGGTCGTAAACTCAAGCGCACGACCCACTGTGAGTGCCGCTCTGATTAAGAAGGGGGCCTATAGTGGGACTAGCCGCACCCAACACCTAAAGAAGGACAAGTCAGCCAACTCAGTCAATGGGGTCCAACAACAAGCTGAGAGCATCGAGACATCCGATGTGTAATATTTGTGGGAGCAACCATCTAGGAAAATGTTGATTCACTTAAAGACTTTGTTTGGATTTGGAGCGCCGGACATTTCTAAAAGGATTGTCCTACTAACCTCGGTCTATCTTTTCCTAAGGGCGAGGTACCAAATCAGACGCCCGCGCCGCGAACCGCGCAAAGCAAGCGATTGACTCGATTTCCAACTCTTTACACTTTTTTCCAATTTTTTTTATTTACATATGATAGATATACAATAATATCATATATCCATGTTTATAATATATCACAGACAACAATGAATTGTTTTTATCCAAGACTAGTTCTCTTACATACGTAGTATTTATTTAGCGATCAATTTGTTTAATAATTTTTTAACACTTTATTTTTTGAAACATTTTCAACACCTTTTCATTTTATTTTTTCTAGTTTCTTTAACATCCAATTTTAAAATTTCATCGTGTCTAATGAATGAGTAGGAATGACGACAGTTTTCTTTGGAATGGAAGGGGAATAAAACTACGTAGTAGAAATTTTCATTGTCTTGGTCTTCAATTTTTCTCGAACATAGTAGGAGTGGGAGAGATCGAAGAGGGCCCAAGCAAGAGATGCCAATATCGCGACCTGAATCATCGGACTCTCGAGTCATAGCCCACGTCGATTTGGATTGCTTTTATGTTCAAGGTTTCTCCTGGTTTACAAACTCTGTTCTTGTCTGTTATTCCAAATATTCAACATTTGCCTTTTATTCATATATCTCTAAAGGTGGTAGGGTTAAGTTGGCTTAAACTAGGCAGACAGATATGCATGTGCCCACGCCTGGTTCAATTTCTTGGTAGGAGATTCTACCATAGCTCTTTATGAGCTCTTGTCAACTAAAAATCTATCACATTTTCAACTTAAAACTATTAACCCATCATGGAGTATTTTTTTGAAAACACCATGTAAACAATGAGTATAATATAAATCTACAAAAAAATAACCAAGAATGCGTTTCAAAACAAATAAGGAAAGTGCAAACCTATGAAGCGTGGGTGCTTCAAAAAAAGCCGCACGAAGCACCGGGCGGGGATGTGGGGGTGCGCGTCCGTGCGGCTGGCTTGGGCCTTGGGTGCGGCTGGGTAGTTTTGTTTTTGTTTTTCAGAACGTGGTGGTAGGGGGAGTTTTGTAGGCTTAAAAAATTTGGGACCAAAAGGAAGAAACATGAGACTTTTTAATAAAATAAATTTGGGAGTTCTCATAACTCCATACACAATAAAGGAGAGAGCAGAGGACTTACTCCACCCCCACCCACACTCCAAGAAATTGGGCAATTCTCGTACCTAGTTCCGCTCTATGCTTGTGTTTGAGACATTTTATGTTTTTGATGTTAACTTTAATGGTAAATGGAGACTTGTATTATGTTTCCTATCTATTTTGTGGGATGTTATGGGTTTGATTTCTTTAAAATTAGGAAAATTGTTGTATTTTGTGAATGTTTTGAACATAAATACATGTATTGTACAAAGAAATAATTAATTCAAAAAAAAATTATTAATAAATTTGCTGCACCCGCGCCCTATTTCTTTTGAAAATTTCCGCATCTGCGCACCAGTTGTAAACCCACACCACTCAATGCACCCACACGTTTGCTTCATAGGTGCAACCAATAGCTAAAGCCTCAAATGTCATTTTATTGGTGAGGGTCGTTGTGTTTTTAAGCTGTGAGGGATGACAGAAATTTAACAAAGAAGAACGAAATTTTCCAAATGATGTGCATGCCGTAGGGTAGAGATGCAATGGAGGCTAGATGCGATGAGGTCTCTTTTAATAGTGTAATCTTACCATTTATTTAATTTTTTTTAAAGGATTATCAATTATGTCCCTGAAGCACGCCTCTCTTGTGCATCGGTGGCAACACACTATGCTCCAATGCGCATGTGCCATGTAGAAACATGGGGTGGGTAATGTAGAAAAGTAAGAAGGTTGTATTGAACCCACAACATTTTTTTGGTTACATTTTTTATTCCCAAACCCATACAGTCATACCTCAAACCCCGATAAAACCATGAATCTCAAACCCCATTGTTAAGTAGTTTTGCCAAACCCCAAAATTAGGTACCCCAAACCCCCCATCCTCCTAATCAAGCTTTCATCACCAATTACCAAGGCACCAACTCACTGCCAAGCCACCCAAGGCATCAACTGAATGCCAAGCCTCTGCCAAATGCCAACTACCAACTTTCAGCCTGTTTTGGCGCAGACTTCACTCACCAATGGTGGTGGCTTGTTCTTGAATCATTATGGTTTGTTTGGAAGGTTGTGAATCACAAGGGTTTTGTTCGGGAGCTCACCGATAGGCGATACCACAGGCAAGGGGTTTACTGCCAAGTGCCAAGCCACCCACAAACCTTGATGGATGAGAAGGGCGGTGGGGAGAAAGGTATGGACAAAGGGTACAAAACATCTTGAATGAGGTATGGCTTTGATAATATCAAACCTCAAGGTTTGATTCCTTATTCCAAATACATACTAGATTTTGAACCAAATGGGGACATACCACCGTAGTGATCATCATGATATGTTTTTGAATAATTTCTCGTGTTTCTGTCTGTTCTATTTTCTCCATGCAATGCCACTGTATCTAACTGGTAGATTTCATCTACAGTGGAGCAACGTAAACAACCCAGTCTAAGAGGTCAACCAACAGCAGTGGTGCAATACAACCCGTGGAAAGGTGGTGGCCTGATAGCAGTCAGTTACGAAGCCCGTAAGTTTGGTGTTAAGCGGTAATGCATTTTCCTTCCAATTTAGTGAGAATTTTATTGAAAAGTGTGATCGAAAGAAAGCCTGTATTATAACTGAATATGGCTTGCAAAATTTTAGTTCAATGCGAGGGGATGAGGCCAAACAAGTCTGTCCCGAAATTCAGCTTGTTCAAGTCCCAGTTGCTCGTGGTAAAGCAGACCTGAGTGCATACCGAAGTGCAGGCTCAGAGGTCTAACAACTTTAAAGTTTCCCTCTGCTTTGAGCTTGTAGTACTCCTTGAATGAGTTTTATAACCTTCTCACAGGTGGTATCCATTCTTGCAAGGAAAGGTATTTGTGAACGGGCTTCAATTGATGAAGTCTATCTGGATCTCACTGAAGCTGCAGGAAAAATGTTGAAAGAGACTCCCACTGAGAACTTTGTTACAATCAGTGAAGAAGCAGCTAAATCGCATGTTTTAGGGGTTGATAAGGTGGGTAGCCCAACCTTTTAGTTCCTACTGAATTCTCTTATCATTGTGATGATAAAACTTACACGAAACAACAATGACTAAGCCTTAATTCATATTAAACCAAGTAAAAAATATTGTCGTGATGCCATCCGCAAAATTTTTCATCTTCCTCTCTTCTACTGTCATGCATCATATGCTTTGAAGTTTCAAATTTCAATTCTTTTCTACTCTTTTAATGCGTGTCAATTTGTTCCAACACTCCACTCTCTGTACTAGAGCATTTACCACTCGATGACAAACATGCCTCAATAAAGTTTGGAGATTTACCACTTTACCCATACCTTATCTTCCATAATGCTAGTTTAGCCTTTTTCCGGATCTCCTCGTAGCAAACAATATTTTTTTACCCATCTTTACTACACTCATTCTCTTCATGTAGTTCTTAAAAGTCCAACGTTCGGATAACTATAGTAAACAATTTTAATGAACACACTATAGAGTTAATGTGTCAGTCATATAGGCACATTATGATCACACAATATTTGTGGCACTCCTTTCCATTTTACCTAGAATGACCTACATGCTTGTTGAGGAGCTTTTCCTCTCATTCCCTTACACTATGTTTGGTTCGTGGAATTCAGAAGTAAAGGAAAAGTAAAAAAATTTCTCTCTTTTTCCTCTCCAAAATGAGATGAAAAATATTTTCCTTTTTTAGTTTATTTTCTCCTCTTATTTTCATTTCTTTCCACTTTTATTTTCTTTTCCGAACGATACAATAAAAATTGTTTTCCATATCCTTTTCTTTTGTTCCCCTTTCAAATTCCTTCAACCAAACACGGTATTAATCTTGAGGCCAATGGATTTTTTCTATGGCTGTTTTAACGTCGGAGTACTCATATTGCTATACAACAAGGATTCTTGGGCACTGAGTTGTCTATCCCGCTTACCAATTCAAAGTTGGAGAATAACTCCTTTGTGCTTGGGCTTATTCATTGATCTTGTGCTTCACAATTTAATCAAAATCACATGTAAAAAAATTCAGCATCATGACTTCCGTGTACAACGGTACACAATCAAAACATGCATTTAATTAACACCACCGTTCATGTGACATCCGATTTGAATGTCATAGCATGACCCAAGCCTCTTACGGGGCTCCGTTGCCCTCCCGCATCCCCCCAGCCCCTTAGACCCCCTCCCCTTAGCCGATTGGCTACAGAGACCTTTGTAGCCAATCGGCGGAGGGGAGGGGAGGGGGCATGGGGTTTAGGGGGGTAGGAATCATCAATTTTACCAACGGAGCCCCATGGGAGGAACCGGCCCGATTAAATAAAACATTGTTTCGAAGAGAAACACCTTCAGAAATTTAGGAAAATGTACTTGTAAAATTGACGCAAAAAGCAAATGAAAGTTTACAACGCCCGCACACACACACACACACTTGTATATGCCTTGTCACTTTTCAGGTCACACAAATTTAATACCTTAATTTAACACACTATTACTATGAAATTGTGTGGCAGTGGTAGGGGTCGTCCTCACTGAGTGATGTGTCTTGCTAAGTTCAAATTGTTGACTAATGTTCCAAAGTACTAAATTGATGCAAGACACACTTGGGGGAAGGGGGAGTTCGTGTTTTTCAGAAAAAGTGAAACAAACTGCGAGAATATCTGATTAAAAATTCAATTTTGTAAGAGGTAATTGAGTATCTTAAGAGAGACTTTGGGTGTTTGAAAGGTGAACAAACAGAGAGAGGGATAAGAAAATAAGGTTTTAGTAACTAAAGAGGGATAGGTTTGTGCTAAAAAAGAGGGATAGGTTTGATTCATGCATTAAGGGATCCTGTTGATTTCCAAATCATTAATAAATACATAGTTTACCAATATGATAAGAGATTAGGCTGGATAAGGGTAATCTACTAACCAATTAGGGCCTTCCCAAGTCCCAACCTATCTCTACAAATAATAATCTAGTTTAAGCCCAACCTTGAAGTAGATACCTTTAGCTCCTGAAATTCTTCAAGCCCAACCTCTAGAGTCCAGAAGCTAAGGCACTAAATTCTGTCTAGGCTTCACTTAACACCCTAGTTAAAAAATCACCAGCAATTCTAAGTTACTTTAATTCGTTACTGATTATACCACAACACATAGACACTAATCAAATTGTTAGTTTGGCAACTTAATCCAATTTTTAGGTGTTTTAGCAATGATTTAAGTAGATAGAACACATCTCTTTTCGGATTTACCCTTAATTTGGAGAAATCTAAACTCATTGATACTCAACCTTCACCCTTACTCATCAAACATAAGATGTGTTACTTACTGATCATACAATCACAAACAGTGGTAAGCACAGATAAATCAACATATCTCATTTCCTAGAATACTCAAATTTACATTTCAACCACAAACAAAGATGGATTGCAACAAGGGAATCACCTTGATACAAAAACCTTATCTAGAGAAAGAGATCCTTGATTTTACCCTTGAAGTACCGCCCTTGCCTTCGTCTTTGGTTTTTGACCTTTGAATTTTTTTTCTTTTCATCTGATCTGATTAGTTCTTATCTGAATTTATTTAGGTCTCATCTAATCGAATCTTTCTGCTTTCATCTCATTTCCATTAAATTTAAAGTTGTAATTTGATCTAGTGTGATCTGATATGATTTTTTCGATCTATTCTAATCAGAATTTTTCAATCTAATCTAGTTTGAAATTTTTTAAATCTAATCTGATCTGATTTTTTATCTAATCTGATCTGAATTCTGAATTTTTGATCTCATATGATTCTAATAAGAATATGTAATAAGTAATAAGAATAAGTCTCTCTCTCTCTGATGTACACGCATGACGCATGAAGGGTAATAGCTTTATGGCTTCTCTAATGATAGTAACTATCCTTTTATACTCCTTAGCTCTTCCAAATTCCTCTATGGCCGGTTTGGTTAGGAGGGAGGGGATGAAAGGGGAGGGAAAATGAGCCCCTCCCCTTGTTTGGTTTAAAATATTGGAGGAGAGGGGACCAAAAATTTGTCCCCCCCATTCCCTTCCCTCCCCTTACATTGGATCCCTCCAAATCAAGGGTTTTAGGAGGGAATTTAAAAATTTTGACTAATTTATCCCATCAATTTGATTATATTCTCATTCATGCCCCTCGTAAGGTATAATATTAAAAAAACCACTAATATCTAAGGGTATAATTGTGAAGTAGTCATTACCTCTCCTCCCTTCCTCTTTTGAACCGAACACAAAATCATTCGTTTCCTTCCCCTTCCATCCCTTCTTTTCCCTCATATCCATCCCCCTCCTTTCCCTCCCATCAAACTAAACATGGGCTTATTGACCAGGTCTTGGTTTTGGGCTATAAGGCCCAAATATCTTACAAAAAAGATTTCTTTTCATAAGTGGGTTATGGAAGTTAACTATCACTCATAAAAATTGTGGGAAAATCTTTAGAGGGTTACAAACACTTTAGTTTCCTTTAAATCTTACAATGCAAAAATAATATTTCTTGAGGACAAAGTACTAATATACGAGGTAATATTTAAAAACTTTGTGCAAATAAAGGGGAAAAGATAGTGAAATTAAGACTTAACATCACTTCATACTTACATTGTACAAATATTGCTTGTTATCTTCTAATACACAGTTTTTATTGAATGGCATTCTAAAGAATGTTTTGTTCAGGCTTTGTTTGTTTGTCTAAGTACGTGCACTTATTGTTGCGTTATTGGTTGCTATGTCATTCCTGATATTTTTTCCGTTGTAGGATGAAAATGAGAGCGTTTTGAAGTGGATGTGTAGAAATGATGCCCATTACCGTGATAAGTTATTGGCCTGTGGGGCTTTAATTGTTGCCGAGCTTAGGTTGCAAGTACTAAAAGAGACTGAATTTACATGTTCTGCAGGGATTGCTCATAATAAGGTTGAAGTAGTCTCTAGTTCATTAGAAATATGCAAATATCTAGATTTAGGTTGTAGTTTTTCTTTATATTTCATGATATCTAAAGTGGTGGCCACTCACGTTTGGAAGCTACAAGTGACAGAGATGAGGATGTTAAGGTGGATGTGTGGGCATACGAGGGTGGATCGTATATGGAGCAAGGATATTAAAGGGAGGGTGGGAGTGGCGTCTGTGGAGGATAAGCTATGGGAAGCTAGACTGAGATGGTGTGAGCGTGCACTTAGGATTACGTATGCTCCGATGAGGAGTGCGAAGGCTTGTGGTAGGGGGTATTAGGTGGGGTAAAGGTAGATCTATGAAGAGTTGGGCGGAGGTGGTTAGAGCCATCAGACATGACTTAGGAGTTAGGTGTCTAGGATGTCGAGGATATGACGTTAGATGGGGGGGGCTGTGGAGGTCTAGGGTTAGGGTGGCATACTAGACACTTAGGCCTTAGTTCTTAGTTTTTGCTAGTGTGCTTTGTGCCTTAGTTTGTAGTTTCTGCATGTTTTATTAGTGGCTTTCTTTGTTCGTGCTACTTTGTTGTTATGATCCCGTGCTTTGAGCCGGGGATCTCATGGAAAACAACCTCTCTACTCTCTGAGTAGGGGTAAGGTCTACATACACACATCCTCCCCAGACCCTACTCTATGGGAGGGATTTTACTGGATCTGCTGTTTATATCTTGTGTGTTAAAATTTTGAAACGACACTACTTACAGATGTTGGCCAAACTGGCTAGTGGGATGAACAAGCCTGCACAACAAACTATAGTTCCCTCATCGTATGTCATGAAATTACTTGAACCATTGCCCATACAGAAAATGTAAGGTTTCCTATATTTTATCCTTGTTCAGAAATGTATTAAGTGTCCTCGGCATGTTGTTTGACTTTTTCCCCTTTTCTGAATTTCAGTTCTATATGAATTATGTTTTTCTTGTTAAGATTTTTCCCATTAGCATTTTTTTGGGTGAGATTTTATCTCAGATTTTTGTCTTTGCATAATAGTTATGCTTGTATCTATCAGTGTTTTTTTTTTGAACAAAGTGCAAATATTAATCCACAATCAAACATACAAAGTTTTGCTAAACAGAATTACCTCTACTTCCCATACAATTAGACTACCTATTTTTGGGCAATATATAGATAGCTACATGGTACTTTATATAATCAATACACTTCCCAGTAGACATTGCTTCCTTCCCATGTATGATTTGGTTTCTTACTCTCCAAATTGCATAACAACACGCGTTGAAGGTGGCAGCCCTCAGGTTTCTCTCCTTTCTGCTTTTGCATCTAGCCAACATCTCCTCTATCTCCTTAAGTTCCTGCACCTGGATATTCACACCCATCCAAACAGCTATCTCCTGGTGTATTATTGTGGTGTACTTACAGGAGCAAAATATATGATTGACATCTTCTTCATGTTGTCCACAGAGAACACATTTTGTGTCAATCTGTAGGAATTTACTTAGTCTTCTTTTTGTTTGTAACCTCCCCTTCCAGGACAGCCAAGCTATAACCTGGTGTTTTGGTTGGGTCCAGTTATTCCAAACTGCATTAGCCCAACTCACCTTTGGTTTCTCTTCCATGAGCCATTTATATCCTTCTTTGATACTATACTCCTCCTTCATGGTCATGTTTTTGAATTCAGTCCTTACCTTCAGTAGTTTTTTCCAGTAAAAGCAAGTGTCCCCTGTTCTTTCATATTGCCAGATTGAACCCTTCTTGATATACCTGTGATGCATCCATCTTACCCACAAAATATCCTTTTTGTTGGCTATATCCCATATCAGTTGCATTGCACACGCTTTGTTCCAGTGGATTAGGTTTATAAGACCTAATCCCCCATTTCTCTTTGGTTGGCAGACTTCATCCCACGCAACAAGAGGGCATTTTCTATACATAGGTGAAGCTCCCCATAGGAAATTCCTGCATACTTCATGTATCTTTTTCATAACCTTATTTGGTATGATAAACATTCTAGCCCAGAACGCTACTATCCCAAATAAGACTGAGTTGATCAGCTTTATCCTACCTGCATAGGNCATGTGTTTTGTCATCCAGGAGTTTATTTTAGTTGTTAGCTTCTCAACCAATCTTTCACACTCTCTTTGGCCTATCCTTGCAGCAGTGATTGGACATCCTAGGTATCTGAAAGGAAATTCTCCTTTAACCATTTTGGTTATTTGCAGATATCTGTTCTCATTCACTAAACTAACTCCTCCCATCACTATCTGTGATTTCTCATAGTTTATGCCTAGACCTGTCACTTCTTTAAAATGTTCCAAAGCTCGTAGCACTGCTGATATAGACTCTTCCTCGGCTTTACACACAACAATCAGGTCATCAGCAAACACCAAGTTAATCAGATTCAATGACTTACACATGGGATGGTGTTTGAAACGTTTTTGGTCTGCATTATATTGAAATGTCCTTGTGAGATACTCCATAATAATCACAAATAGCAATGGGGACATGGGATCTCCTTGTCTCAGTCCTCTCCCACCCTTAAAATATCCATTTATCTCACCATCAAGTTGAATTGAGAATGCAGTATTTGAAATGCAGAATCTAATCCATTCAACAAACTTAGGAGGAAATTTTAGGGCTTCCAAGATTTGGGTCATGGCCTTCCAGCTAACTGAGTCGTAAGCTTTCCTAATGTCAAGCTTCATCATACACCTTGGAGACACCCCTTTCCTTTTGTAACCTCTAGCCAGTTCTTGGCAAACCAGCACATTATGCACTAAGTCCCTCCCTGGTATGAAAGCTCCCTGATTTTGGTCAATTATATACGCCAGAACATCTTTTAACCTACTGCATATAATTTTTGATAGAACCTTGTAAATTACATTACAGCAGGAAATTGGCCTAAAATCTGAAGGATATTTAGGGCAATCAACTTTTGGTATAAGGGTGATAATAGTTGCATTCACCTCTTTAAGTGTAGTACCTGTCTGAAAGAATTCCATAACTGCTTTTGTGACCAAACCTCCCACCACATTCCATTGGTGTTTATAAAATCCACTGCTAAACCCATCCGGTCCTGGGCTCTTACAGTTGGGGATTTCAAAAATGTATTTCTTAACCATTTCTGGTGATATGGGGGCTATTAATTTCATCTGTGGTTCAACTGTCAACACTCTGCCCTTGTTAATAATCTCCTTCTTAATATTATCTGTCCAAACTGTGGTTCCCAATGCCTCTTGGAAATATTGCAGCACTACCCTAGTCACGTCTTCCATTCCTTCTACAAGCTCCCCTCTTTTATTGTATATTGTGGTGATATGGTTTTGGATCTGTCTCTTTCTAACCCATGCATGGAATAACCTTGAATTTTGATCTCCTTCAAGGATCCATTCTTGTTTTGCTTGTTGGCATTTCAACAGGTAGCTTGCTCTCAGGTTCCAATTGAGTTGTTGTAT